TGAGTTTCAGACCTTGACTTGGTTTCCTAGCTCTTCCTTGAGAGCTGTTGGAGGAATCCAGACTGATGTCTTCGGGTTTGGCTTCCTTGGGCAGATAGGCAGGTCTCCAGGTAAAGCTCATCCAGAGCTTCAGACTTAAGTCGGGTTTTCAAACTTGGTCAACACTGCGGCGTTGAAGGAAGGTCTGACTGCTGCTTATGTAGAAGGTATCCAGATGGGCTGATGATCCTCAGGTGTGCTGGAGGCTCCAGCCCAGGAGACCCATGGCGCTCTCAGCTGGAGACAGGTGGTAGATCTCCAGATCCCAACAGTACCCAAGTCCCAACAGAAAAACATACAACAGGAGGGGATCCTCGGCGCCCTCTGGAGGGCAAGCCTCTGGATCCCAACAGATATATTATCCTTCATGTCTTAGAGAACTGGACATTTACATGAAGTGCACAACACAGTAAAACCCACACATGAGGGTTAAAGGAGCTCAAGTATCTTAGGTTCCTGTTCATTAGTAAGGACAATGTGTCGGGACATGGTGTTCCCACAGCATGCCGATCAGAGCCAAGGTGATTTTAATGCTGGTCGCATGCTGAGTCATTTGACCCGGGTAGACATGCGTCATGTTCCCACTGCCACTAAAGCCCATTGTTCCCTGATTTAAATGGGTTTTTCGGCCAGTGGGAAATGGATATATTTTCTTTAAAACCTCAAACTCAACGCAATTTCTGACATTTTAAAATAAAAAGCTGCCTGGATGGGAAGCAAAACATCTTCAAACTTGGAAACAAAGTCCATTGGATTATTTTTTGACTTTTTTGGAATGACTATTACCGGGATGACTAAGAATCTTCACCAGCATATGGGTATAATACTGTACTATATATCATTTGATCGGTTTCTGTGATGGACATAGTACGGATCATACTTGGGGCTGTATTTGTATCATTGGAGAAATCATCTGGTAGCACCTTACCTAACTTTGCTAGCTAATGGTGGTGTTAGGTTTATTCAATGATGATTATAAAATTAATGTGTG